GGGTCAACCTTGGTTTTTAAATGGGCCTTAGAATGTGTTGTAGAAACAAAGTGGATTTGAATTTGATGTCCTTCAGTCTGTACTGGACCATTCCGTCAGTCAATGACTCCCTCTCTTGCTCTCTCTCTCTTTCTCTCTCTCTTATCTGTCAAACTCTCTTTATCTTTTCCCCATCTCTGTGTGTGCTCTCAGCAGGCAGTGTGTGAGGAGATGGTGCGAGAGCTCCAGGGCATCATCCTGTGTCGCGACAGCCTCCAGGTGAGACGGCGGCGGTCGAGTTCCATGATGAGGTCGCGGCCTTTACCTCTAGAGGAGCGGAGAGCGCGAGCTGCCGCCATGAGTCTCAGCAATGGCAAACTGTGTGGGGGCACGGGACTCCCTGAACCCTTTTCTCACAGACTGGCCCAGGAGGCCGCCCTGGTGGCGAGAGGGTGCAGCCACATCCGTATTTGCCCAGAGTGCCGGCGCTTCCAGGGACTGAGGATGCGTCCTGTGGGGGCCACTGGGGCCCTTCCATCGCCCACACACAGTGAGGAAAGCATAGAGTGGGACAAGACTTCAAATAGCAGTGAACCTGAATAACTGCTGGTGAGGCCAACACTGACTGACTGTTCATGCAGCCAGTTCCACACTTTCCAGGGATCAAAGGTCATGTAGTATTTTCATACCTTCATCAGGAGCTGGGTATTAAAGGGCAGGAATAATCTGTGGACTCGTCTGCCCGTGGAGGCGATAGCCAGCAGCCACTTTTTTGGGATTTCATTTCTTTTTTCATGGTCAGAGGAAAAAACTGATGAGTCTGTTCCATTGTGGTCTCTCCTTGTAGGCCCTGGACTGTATCAGACAGGACAGGCGAACACAACTCCGGGGCATTTGTACTATGCAGTATTTTCAGTCACTTATCATTGTGCTGTTTCTTTTTGTCCCTTTTTAAATTATTTCTGTCCTCAGTTGAATTATCTGTACTGACTATTGTTATTCTATTGTTCTTTGAAGAAGAAAAAAACCTTTATTATGGGACAACTTTGTCGTATGATCATGTATTGGAAAGAGTTGCTAGTGGAAGGAAATAGACGGGTGCAAACGTCAACTTTCAAATGATTTTATTTTGAAAGTGCCAAAAGGGTGAGTATTTATCTGGTGGCCGGAGGAAGCACCGTCACCTTGATACATCAAACACAAAAAAAAAAAAAAACCCACAGCGACTCGACTGAAACATGGACTTCTTTCATAGCAGTGATTCTCTATTAAAACTGGTTTTATTTGTTCTTATCTCTGAAAGACAGCAAAGCATGATGGCCAGAGGTGTTGAGAGACAATGGCTCAACGAAGTTTTTTATATATTTTAATACCTGTTAAAGATGTGAAAGCTACACAAATTCACAAAAACAGATTTATTTTTTCTCTCCCCCTCCTCCCTCTCCATCTGTCCTGCACTGTTACCATCAGAGCACATTTATTGACTCGCTGCTTTTTGTCTTAAAGATCTAATGGAAAAATATCATCTGCCTCACATTTTTATTCATTTGTTTACTTTCAATGAAACCCAGTATTTGAGAAATTAAAAAAGAAAAAACCCTGACGTCTCTGGTGAAAGGAACAAAAATAGTCTTTTATGTCAGTTCCTACAATATTTTCTTATTTATTTGTTAAGGCAAATAACTTTAAATTGAAGCGATGTTGTGTTTCACATCAGCCCCCACGCCGTCTGACATTTCCATACTTTTATTTTGCTCAGTTTCAAACAAAACAAATCTGTCCATTAACTGTGTTATTTTGAGGCGCCTCGAAAAACAGGTCATTTATTCAATACTGTTTAAATGTAGTGATTCCAACTGAAGTAATTCACAGCACAACAGAAAGAGTTGAGTGGTTTCAGTCTTTAATCCATACTGAAAATTTGTTCCATCAGTTTATTTCAGCTCTTATTAGGTTTGGTTTCCATCATGTCTATTTTTATTTATATACAAAAATTAAAACAATCATTTTAACTCATTTTCATTTATCTATTTATGTTCATAACCCTTGACTTATGTCTCTGTATTCTATTCTACTTTCCCACCTGGTTTTTACAAAAAGGCATCTCACTTCCCTCACCTGCTGCTTCCTCACACCTAAAGTGTCAATCATTCAAGGTTCAGTCGAGTTTCCAAGACAGATGTTGTCCTTTCCAAATGTGTCTGAGTAAATTCACTAAATTATGTTCAGACAGGTCTCTCAGGTGTCAACATCTTTGACACTTTTTGTCATCATCATATCTTTGTCAAGTGTTGAGCTGAAATTGGATTGGTGACATCAGAGCAAATGTCAACATTTTAACCAGATCTCAATTAAAACTAGTACTAGTAGACTAATCAAAATTAATAATAATAATAATAATAATAATAATAACAACAACAACATGTTTGATTCCACAACAACATGTTCAGACTGGTCTTGTCTTAAAAACTTTGGACCTTATTTATTAACAGTCACTCAACACCACCTGTAGACCACTGCTGTGTAGTTCATTGTGCTCATGTGTCTCCTGCTGCCTGCAGCGCCTGAGGTCGATAAATTAAGTGCATCTGTATCCAGCACTGTTTGGCTGCTGTTGGATTTATGGAGCTCATGATGAGCCCTGAGTGCCTGCAGAGGTGGATGAAAAACAATCTTCGCTACTCAAGCTTATCCAGCGTTAGCACAGAACTTCAACAGCCCCATAGTATGTGAGTTTTTCCCCTTTATTTTTTATACAGGATTCGGTATACTATTTGTTCAACTAGAAGTATGCAATTTGCATATTTATCATGTTTTTTGCGTTGGTTAAAATTTAGCATGTGCCTCTTCTTTCCCGACCTGTAGATGGTGCTAAGTACACATTTGAAAGCCCTGTGTGGTATTTGTATGTAAATCCTGAAGAAACATTTAGTCTGGTTGCATATTCCCCATTGGATATAACAAACAAATGAAGACACTTAGAGAGTGTTTGGCAAATCCAGCGCGAGGCAGTGTTTTAGTTGCAAACTAGCATTACAGTTTTATTTTGCGCTAACCTTGCTAAGTCTCAGTATCACCATGTTTCGGGCTCTACATGCATATCTGAGTTACATTACTGCCAGCTACTGGTTTTAATTTTATAACGTTAAATATTTAATCTCGAGAAGGTTTCAATCAAATGCAATAAGATGGAGAAACAATAAAATACAGAGAGAAGATAAAAACCTTCCTGATGTTCAGGGGGAAAAAAAAGGGGCGCGAAGATAAAAACCTTCCTGATGTTCAGGGCACAGAATACTCTCTTTAGAAAAAAAGGGGCGCGGGGGGCAATTAATTTAAAATTGTTTGTTGTGAAGGTGTTCTGTGATTTAGAACTTTACATTCAGAAATTTGAAAAACGAACTATTGAACGATACAAGTACAATTTTAGTGAATCCTCTGTTTAGCCATGCAGGATTAGCTTTATCGCACACACTTAATTGACAGATGTGAATGCAGGTGAGAAAGGTTGTGTGTCTTTTCATGTGCCGCTGTAGAAGATAAATGAATTAATTTCTCCCCATAGACCTGTGCTTTCATACAGTTGCTTCTGGAACCTAAGGAGCAGATCTTTTCAACTTCTGCAGCTTTACTTTACAACGTTTTACTTTTTTTCTGACCACAGCGACAACTCAATTTTCCAAAGTCAGCACAGTCAGAAACGTAGCAGCAGCCACTAATGAGCTTTGGAATCAAGGATCACCACCAAAGACATAACAGCCGCAGAGTGGAAGCTTCCAAAGACACAACAAGGCATTATTTGGTGGTAGCTTTCCTATCGATTTGCTGGCAGTGCGTTGCAAAAGGCGTCGTGTTGTTGCTTTTGTTGTAATAGGTGAGGAGTGAGAGTGCAAGAGCTCTCTTTCTCTGAGGTGAGATGCTGTCGAGGCTGTTGTACAGCTGACGGTTGTTGTTGAACCTATTGACCAAAACATCTTTACATTGTTTGTCTTTCAGAGAAATAAAATGCAGCTGCATTGGTGTTTCTCCGGTCTCTTTCTTCACTCGTTCATTTCCATTCTAAATGGTAACTGGCAAACCACTGTAAACATGACATAATTGACCAAAAATCTTAAGTTTTAAGAGTTACTTCATCTGAACATCATTTCTGTACTGGATTATTAATGAGTACTTCACTATGAGTATCGTTTATAACATTTCTTTTTATTTCAGCAATATTAAATGGTCCCACAGTGTGGGGGCGGTTGGTTGTCCTGCATTACAGCAAGAAGATCAGTGGTTTGAACCCAAAAGGTAACTGTATATGGAGTTTCCATGTCCACCTCATGTATGCCACGCCCAGGACCGTTTACTCTCAATTAGGTTTCTAATTTTTATAAAGACTTGGATATAGGAGCTCCTTTATTTCCCTGACCTTGAACCTGACAATTAAGTAATTATTAAATACATTTTTTCTCTTTTGATTTTTGATTAAAAACGTGAATCGAGCTGAAAGAACAGTTCAACACTGACGAAGATATACGGTAATATAAAAGGAGATGACCCAGAGAGCTGTCTGACATGTTTTAATGATTGACATCAGACACAGTCTAAGTTATGACATTTGCTGTAGGATATTTTGACACCTTGAAGAAAAAGTGACACAGGGACCAGATCCAGTGACCTTGCTGTAAGGCATCAATACTCACCACCGGGACACCACGCAGCCATAGAATGCTGATTGGGTTCTGCAAGATTAATAACAGCAAGTAGGACACAGGTGTGGTCCTAGTTGGCTGATGGCCTTTCTGTGAATAGTTTGTTCATTTTCCTGATGTGTGAATGGTTATTTCTTGATTTGTTTTCAAATTAAATTTCATTATTTTTTTCCCCACAGTATAAAAATGTGCACATTGGAGAATACAGTAGCTTAACTGCAGTCTGAGTTTGCCCAGGATGTAATGAAGTGTAACTGTCTCTTGATGTGGTCCAGGGACTGACTGAGAACACTGTCCAGTTTCCAGGCTCTGCCTTTATTTCTATGTGATTTTCTGCAGCCGTAGAAGCTGCAGAAGATGGATGTCCCCATTCTCGTGCTTTCAGATTTACTCAATAGGTTTTCCTGCAGGCGGTGGATTTTTGTTTTGTAAGTCTTTTATTCCCAACCATCAGCTACACCATGCAAATGTGTTGACTGGCCCTGCTGTAGACTGTATCATCAATCTCTTAGTAAACAGACACACACACACACACAGACAGACACCTGTCTGAAGGCAACACAGCTTTGTGGTTTGAGAAAAAGAAATTGACTTACAGATAACGGCATCTCAGAGTGGAAACATCTTTAAGCTCTGGTGTTAATTGGTTGTTAGAGGCTGTAATTAACGTAATTCCCAGAGTAAATGATTCATTACATCACAGATGAGAGGCTGCAGAAATTGCCATCAATGGAATAAAATTAGTTTATCTTTCTTTTCATTTAGCAAATTTCTTTTCATGCTTTGAGACATCGTTGTGTTTCCTATCACTTCTCACCACTGTAACTCTCAGTTTTTATTGTTAATTTAGTCCAACTCCTATTGAACATTATTGTTACTCTGTGTGTCATCTTGTTTGTGTGCTTTGAATAAAACATTTTTTTAAATGTAATAATGGTGGCGATGAGGCCACTGGGTTGACCTTTCTCAGACATTTCTCAGCTTTTAGGCAAATTCCTCTGTTTTATGACAGTAATTTAATCCTATTTATTATAATTATTTCTTTGATCTGACATAAAAGAGCAAACACACTGTTACAGTCACAGATTTTCTCTGTGGCTAATGGACAGAGGTCACTGTCTCACTGAGCATCAAGAGTCATGTGCTACATCTAGTGGACATTACCCAGCATTACAGGGAATACACGGTTAGATTGACCTACAAGGGCAGATACTGTACCTCGGGCTGTTTGGTATTCTGGTGGTAAATAATGGATAATGAAAGCATAAAAGGTAACGTGTTTGGAGCCTGTCTGTTAGATGTCCGGGGCGTTGGGGACGGGGTTTGATAGCAGCCCCTTGTAACTGTGATGAAGGGTTGTGCTCTTGTCCTCCCACCCTTGTCGAGCCACAGACAGCTGGGATGTCAGACTGTCTAGAGTGTCCTGAAAAATAGAAAAAAACAAAAACACAGTGACATTGAAGCTGTTACATGTTCCTTTGGTGTCTAACTTTGTGCAATTTCCCACTTAATTGCCTATCATTTGCCATGCACTTCAGCAGGGAGCTGGATGACAAGAGGAATAATTACTCACTGTGTCATATCAGAAAAGAGCAAATAATATGGTGATTATATTCTTTTTAAATCAAGCCCTATAATCAGAGGCTACTAACAAGACCCCAGGCTCTTGCATCTATTAATGAAGAGCTGCACACTTTAAAGTTGCATCCATTTCAAATTGCCACATTAAGCTCTGGTGAAAATTCTGCTATTACACAATTAAAGGGACTATTTTGGTGTTTAAATACCAGAGCATGACCCTTGTAAAGTTTCCCAACGTCTTCAAAATGACTCCCAAAGAGTCGGACATTTGAAGTACAGAAAATCAAGTCAATTCAGAGTTTATATAAGTGATATACAGTATATCTCTAACAATTATTTCAAGGTGTTGACACAGGGACCCTCGAACAAGTGATGGAACCAAGGACATATTTTATATAATGTATGTAAGTGTGTATTAAATTAAACTGGACCCAGGGTTATGTACAAATGATGAATGTTATTTTGCATGCACATAATTTGTCTCTGTTCCTCTATGCAGTGACAGTGACAGGTAGAACAACTCTAAATTCTTCCACTAGGTGGCAGAAAGTAGCTCTAAAAAAATAGAAGAATTGGAAGACTTTCTTGTGCGTTTTTCCTCAGTTCCTGCAGTTATGTCTGAAGTTCTCATTCAGACTGATACTTGGCTATGGGTCATTTGATACAAGGCTGAAGTACATTTACATTGGATCAGCGAGATAAAGGTGCAGTGGTAAGAGAGCCACCATCCTGCCCCCCAGTCTGTAGTGCTAAATGACTCTTTATGTTACTGACTTCAACATCATTTGCATGTATGTGTCTCTTGGGCACGCGCTCTCTGAGTTTGTGAGGATGTGATGACCGGCTGCTATGTCCTTAAAGATACCACACACAAACAGCTTCAATGATAAAGAAAAATGTATCTGGATTTATTACCACTGCCTTGAAGGTTATGTTGTCAGGCTGTGTTTATCTGCTGGCTGTGAGCAGTATCACTGAGAAAAGTAAAGAATGGATATTTATTACATTTGTGGGCGGATGTGGGTTATGGCCCACAGAAAAAAACTATTACATTATGGTGTTGATCCAGATACAGATAGGAATTTAAGAGTTGTTTAACCTTCAGAGACTTAGAACAGTGTTGATACTGTGGGGACAAGTGGCCTTGGAACACTTTCTGACCTCAACAAATGTAGACGTTTTGTAATATCTAAAATGGATGGATACTGATATTTGTTGTATTTAAATATAAAGCTTAAGACAATGTGTTAATAATTAATGTAGAGTATTATATAAAAAATCCAAATATATATTGTTTATTACAGGTCACAGGGTGGAAGAAGACAGGACGACATCTGGTACCAATCCCAGCTGTGGCTATTACTGTAATAGCCACTGTAATTTTCCCAACTGGGGGATAACTAAAACCATTGATTTTTCCTGCTGTACTGCACCCTACAATATCTGTGCACTCCTAGGAGGGCCCGCCCCCCACTTTGGGAACCAATGTCTTATTTTGTTGAGCACTGCAACAAATTGAAATCTGAACAGCAACCTGAGAAAGTCTAGTTCTTGGTCTATGAATAACGAACACACCTGCAGGATTGGAGTGTAGGGTAATGAAAATCATCAGGTGTCTGCACCTTCAGGATTTTCTCTCATTCACTGTTTGTTGCATGACCATGTGACCCTCACCATCTGTGTTATTGTACCCTAATGTTTACGCAGTTGCCTAGGAACAAAGATCAAAGACATTGATACAGTATAAGATGGGCTGCAAACACTCATTTGAGGAAGGTCACCTCTGATCTGCATGCTGCAGTCACTGCGTGTCACTTCCTATCTGGAAAGGGAAGAAGAAAAGTCTACAACAAAACTCACGTGCAGGACCTTCTCATAGTCTGTTTCCATGTTATACAGTTTGTGTCGGAGCTCAGCTAGTGTCGTGTCCTTCTCCTGTCTCATCTGTTGACGCTCGTCTTTCTCTCTCCTCAGGTCCTCTTGACATCTGGCTGAGCAGGCAAGTCCATGGACATTTATATACTGTAGAGAACTCAATGATAACTAACACTACACTGTTTTTATATAGTTTATCACATATATATATATAAACATATATTCATACCGAGTTCTTCATTTAGCTGTGTCACCTCCAACTCCAGACTCCTCACTTTGCCAGTCAGCTCTGTCTCCATGGTTTTGTACCGACGGCTTTGCTCTAGAGCAGTACAATAAATATAGGTAAAAAAAAAAAGTATTGCACAGACTGTAAAGGATGTTTATAATGTTGCAGAGTCATATGGCAGACAGGTCTTAAGTAAAGCCTTTGGTCTGATAAAAGTTTGAAGACCACTGACTCATTATGTTTAAGGCTGGTGCTGCAGCAGGACCAAAGGGAACGAAGCTAATTAGAGCTTTTCTTCCTCAAAAATTACCCTCCCCTCAGCAAACACTCTCCCCGTCCTTGGTCCCTTATGGACCCATATTTTATCTCAAGTTATTAAAAAGAGAGATTAAGTGTTTGACTGAACCGTACCTGAAAAGACGTCCCTGTGGTCTTCTCTCTCCTTCTCCAGCTTCTGCTCCAGTTCTCTCATGTGGCTCCTCAGGTCAGTTCTGTCAGACTGGACCATTTGTATGGACTGGCTCTGTAGAGCTGTGATCAGACAAACACATGCAGCACCTGAACGATAACAACTGAAACATTGGGGAAATGTATCTTTTCTAAAGCAGAGACTAACAAGCCTAATGAGATGAAAAAAGAGCACACAAGAGCATACTTTTCTATCAAAAAATTTGAAGAATGTTCATTTGTATGTTCGTATCTGATAAAACAATATATTCACGCACATTTTCGTTATTGAAATCACTTGCAATAAAACAATTACCTTATAGTGACTCACCAATGTGATCTTGTAGAATGGCTACATCCAGAACACTGCGTCTGTACTTTGCCTCCAGGTCGTTGTCAACAACTTCTATAAGACAGAAGGGAAAGAAAGTCATGATTATCATCACAAAGACCAGTGGAAACACTGCACCATCTAGTAAGAAACATTACTTTGTTCTTGAATCTTTTTGGTGGACTTTTTGGTCTTTTTCTTCGGAGCCATGTTTGCTCAGTGCCCCCCTCAGCCCTTTAAGCTGAACCCACACACCGCACACAGATGAGTCTCTGTTACCAAGGCACTGGTTGCCACAGTGAGCTAGCATTATTGTCCTGCTTTATCCCACTCAAGGACACGCCCCAGTAGGGTTTAACAACAGTGAGTGGTGGAAATGCATGTTGTTGTTTCCTTCATCCTTAATTTTACCGTTGATGCCTGAGAGTGTGGGGGAACATGTGAAATAAATAAATGAGAAGAAATTGAATGTATCATCTTTGACTCATCCCTTTATCAGGAGTAGCCACTGCAGTAGTCCACATGCTGATTTGATGCATTTTTATGTCCTTTATGGTGCAACCAAATGTGGTTGTGGTCAAGGTGGAATAAAGCTGGCATAGAGAGGAACCCTGTTCCTTTTGTTAACAGGTGGTTTTTATTGCAGCCTCCTCTCTCTGTAAGAACAAGATTGATTCAAGATAGATTCAATTCCATTCCTATCGTATTTTAACCTGTTCTTCTTTTATTGTTTTTATTGTTGTATTGTTATCTTTGTATTCATTGGAAGGTGTCCTTGGGTGACAGAAAGGCGCCTATGAAATAAAATGTATTATTATTATTTAATATACATCTAGGATTAGGTTTATTGGGCCTTAATCCTGCAAAATATTATATATACTATAGCCACATTCCACTCCACTACTTTTCTACTTGTGCTTATCTTTCTCCTTGAGTAATTTTAAGACTCCAAAGAATCTATGTTGTCTGAAAGACTGAAATCTCCGAAACATGTCGAGTCCTCTGTAAATATAAATGTTTAAACTGTTGTTATTGTTGTTTTATGTTTGCACACGTTATTATTGTTGTTGTTGTTGTTGCAGATTATTTTTCTGATTCTTTTCAACCAGTATGGATCATAGGTGTGAATGTTTTTTGTCTTATATGACCCTGTAATAATGGAGAACTGTCCAGAGAATCAGCCCACACCCCATAACTATTGAGCTTTTTATTCAGCTCCCCCAGCAGCCCTGAAGATGAATAAATAAATGGAAAAATATGGTGGACCTTGAATTGATGAGTGAGTGACTTTCAGACAGCGCCACAGTCGTATTCATCTCTTGGGGGCATGAAATTAAATACTCTTACTGGAACACGTCAGAGCGTCCCCTGTTGCCAATAGTGACCATGGCCACACTGAAAGAATGTTTCGAGCTGCGTTCAGTAGTCTTCCACATGCAGCACAAGTCGGGGCGCGCTCCCGAACTCGCTCCAGAGCGCGCGCACGGAAGGCGTGGATTTGAGTTTTGAGGTAGAAGGAGGGGGACGAGCGGAAGGGGCCGCACAGGAAAGGAAAGGAAAGGGCCGCACATACACGTCACTGGGGGAAACAGAAGAAGAAACACTGGGCAATGTTTAATTCCCAAAATTGTTTGTTCACCCGTGCCCCCGCATCTGTCAGAGAAGCTTTCCTATTTTTTTAAGCGCCACTTCCTCTTCTTGATTCTCAGTGAGGGCTCGCTGTCGTCAGGCTTACAGCCCGCCGAGGAGGGCTGACAGTGTCACACAACAGCCGCTCAACTTCCCGTCAAGACACGGCACACACGAAAAGAGCAGCTATTGACGAAAAAAGAGGAACAACAAGGGAGTTTTATTTTCGACGAGGGAGGACGTACACCAGTTCACAAGGCGTCTGGTCAGAAACACGGTGCCATTGTTCTCCAGCGGAGGACGAGTGGAAACAGGTCTACTCAGCTAATTAGCCTGCGTGGTTCCCTGCAGAGAGAGCCAGTAGCAGCAGCGGCGGCGGCGGCGGGAACAACGCAC